CCGTCGCCGCGGCTCGCGGCGTTTCTGCGCGCGTGGCGCGAGGAGATGGCGGCGACGAAGCGCCTGGACCAGAAGGTGCTGAACCAGATCGTGCTGCGCGGCGGCGCGCCCGTGCGCATCGCGCGCCTCGACGCGGCGGTCTGGGCGTCGTCGAACGCGGCGCCGCCGCCGCTCGGGGAGCTGCTCCTGCATCACGCGAACTTCACGCTCGACGTCGAGCGGCGGCCGAGCTCGGATCCGGCGCCGAAGCTCGCCCAGCTCGAGCTTGTGCGTGGTCTACGGGTGCGTGCTGATGCTGGAGATTCGGACGCGGTCGCCGAGTGGGACGCGTGGATCTCGCGGATTCGGTCTGATGCGAGCCTCGACCGCTACCGCGCGCGCCACTTCCCCGCGGCGGAGCGGGACGCGTGGGCGAGGCTAAACTAGAAACACTACAGTATCGGTAAGAGGAGGAGGCCGAGGACTGTCCAGACGACGCCCGGTGGAACGATCGTCGGAATGTCCGAAACGCCGAAATCGACGACGAGCGGCGACCCGTCCGTGATCTGGTACTGGGCGTAGTAGGCCGCGAGCGCGAGGGTCGGCAGCCGCACGAGGGCGATGTTTGACAGTGCACCGAGTGGGTCGTCGTCACCGTCGCCGTCGCCCCCCCACGCGCCGGTGACGAGCGGCGGGAGCGTCGCCTTGAGCGTTCGCCACGCGCCGCGCGCCGCGCCGTCGTCGAAGTTGTCGTTGCGCACGATCGTTCGTCGTCTTCTAGTTCTCTGCGGGGGCAGCAGCGCCGACGCTGCGGCTGCGAAGACGAGGAGAATTTCGAATCGGCGCATGCTGCGAGCCGCGGCGCGCGATGTGTTGTTGTGTTGTGCTTATGTCGCGCTGCTGTGCGTGGTGTTCTGCGTGGAGGTGTCGCGTCGCGTCGCGCGCGCGAGGCGAGGCGCACCGCGTGCCGACGCCAAAGGTCGTCGAAGGTTGGCGGCCGCGCTCGGCGTGGTGTTTTTTGGTGGACGTGGCCGGGGGTTTTCGTGTGGCGTATGTGCGTGTGTGTGTGTGTGCGTGTGTTGTGTGTGTGTGTGTGTGGGTCCAGGAGAGCGCAAGCGCTTATTCCCAGTGTCGAAAAATTACGCCGTCTATCCACCAACTAGTGATAAATAGACCCCTTTCATACACACGAATTTCCGAAGAAAAGTGCAATGTGGCACTCCAGGGGTGTCTAACGGTCTTTTTGATCAACGTCAAATCCCGGCCAGGTACTGCGAGGGGACGCAGACGTGACAGATTTTCAACGTCGAAAAATGGGTTCTGCATACACGGAGGCATGCAGTATGAAAGAAAAGAAACTTCAACATGAACCAGACCGTGAAGCCATCGAGACCCGGGCGACTTCGCTGCAGTGTCGCAAAAAGCGCCAACCTTCGACGACCTTTGGCGTCGGCAGCGTGTCGCACACCCTGTGCCAGAGCGCGCTGCCCAAAAATTAGTCAACTCGACGCAAACTCGACGCGGGGGCGCTCGTCGACTTCGACGCGGGCCGCGGCGCGCCTGTGGAGGCCTCGCGGTGAAGGCCGTCGCGCCGGAGAACGCGCTGCAGAACCACTGTCGACGAGCCGACGCGCCGTCGCGCGGGCCTGCGCGCCGGAGGTCCGCGACGCCTACGACGCTGGCGCGCCGCGACGTCGTCGGCTTCGTCGTCGAGCAGCAGCAGGAGGTCTTCGCGCCCGCGGCCGCCGGTGGTGAAGGCCGTCGCGCGCATGCTGCCAGAACCACTGTCGACGAGCCGACGCGCCGTCGCGCCGTCGGCGCGCCG